TTCCAACATCGAGCAGCGCTGACAACGTCGCCACGGTCTAGAACATCATCTTCACCACAGTCGCCAAGGCGCGGGTTGATGGTATGGACCGGACGTACCTGGAATGGAAAGACCAATATTTTCTTCGTGGACCCCGGACTGAAGGTGAGCGCTGGCGGTTACATTGAGCAACTCGTGAAGAATATCCTCCTCACATGTCGTCGCCCGTACCTTCTTGGAAACTTTGCGCCCGTACCTTCTTGGAAACTTTGTACTGCTACAGCATTGGGTGCCACCACATGGAATCGAAGGGCATTGGAGAAACTCTCGCCTACTTGGAATGGAAGGGGCTGAGTACCTAAAGAAGATGGAATATCCAAGTAGGTCACCTGACCTGAATCCCCTCAATTACCCGGTTCGGGCGGAGTTCAATAGGGTGGTCTACGGTGGCGGAGAAAGTCGCGTGCCAGAATCTCTCGATGGCGCTCGTCCAGAAGGCTGTGGCGGATGATAGTATTTAATATGCTCTTTAATATGGTGGTAAAAATGTCCGATCAGAATTTAATAAAGTGTAACTTATAGCGCCTCGAAAGTCAATGAAGAAAAGTGACTTTTTTTGGCCCCCCCTGTACTACCACCGATATACGATCCGTATACGACCATGCGCGCTAACTCATGACACCTCCTCAGATTGCAAATTCACTTCGACTCATCCAACAAGTCTCACTAGCACAAGACCTTCTTCACCACAGCTTTCAGCAAGTGGAAAGAACTGTCTGAAACTATCAGTATTCAGATTCAATTCGCCACAACACAACAAGCAGACTGCGCGCTAACGAGGCGATTAATATGCAGTTGAATATTGCGTTTTTGATTTCGTATAGAGCCATATAAGGATCCATTGTCCACAGATTTGTCACATAGCTATTTTCCATTGCTAACAGCCGCTCTTCTCAGAGCAACGAGTTCTTATTTTCCACAAACTTCCGGAAGCCCCTAAAAATTTTTGGATAAATTCACAATTTGCAGAATGAAAACTATTCTCATCCTGCTTCTCCTGGCTGCGGCTGCTGTTGATGTCGGCATCACCAAAGGCAATTTTCTATCGACATCCCTTGTTCCTGAAGTTTTTGAGAGGTGTTAGCAAGGAAGGTCGAATTCAATATAATGCAATTATTCGTGGCGAGAATCTTACGTACGCTCAAGAACAGGAGAAAATCGCAGCGTGGGCGAAAAAGTACAATCGTACGGTGCGTACGCTTCGCAAAACTAGGCAATATAATGTGGATTTCAGAGCAGTTTCGGAGTTTCAGGAGCAAGTGAAGAAGTTCAAGGCTGAAGAAGACAAAAAAATGGAAGCGCTCAAGCAAAAGATCACAGCAGTGTTCAAATCTATACCGTCCACTTTTCAAGAGTACGTGAAAAACATAGAAAGCGAAAAGAAAACCCTGGCGGAGATCAGGAAGGAAGCAGGAAAGATCAGACACAAGAACCCAGTGTA